AGTTCGTCGGGATCTCGTTGGTCTTCGCTTAAATTTCATGCTCCTTGACTCTTCAATCCAGCAGCACCTCGTCCTCTTGATAAAATTCTAGCTCTATAAAATGGTGGCATTAGGCTGATATTTATAGGTCTCGGGTGCTGGTATTTGGATGAGAATGAGTGATTTGGTCTTATCTTCAGTTAACAACAGCCTAACCATGTTTGTGGATGATATCAAATTAGTTAGGAACCCCTGGAACAGATAAATCCCGTGAAAACCGCTTTAAAAACGTCAAAAATACGTTTCGGGCTCTGCTGACTCGCGGGGGGTGTGGGTCGGCAAGGTCTGACCCGCGCTTGCGCGAGTCGGACAGATCTGACCCGTGCTGGCGCGGGTCGGCCTGTGCCGTCCCGCGCTGGTGTAGGTCCGTCACCTCCGCCAAGCTCTTTCTCTTTTGGCGCTTTTCTTTTCGGGACTTGTACTTTTTACCATTTCATGTATTTGGTCGACTCGTTGACTTGTACGCTTCGTTGCGGGACTGACCATCGAACATGTCGATTACTTGGGGCTGCCTGACGTACGCGTGTTGGCCGACGCGCACGAGCTGATTGACGCACGCGTGTTGAGCTGATTGACGTGCATGTGTTGACCAACGCGTATGAGTTGATTGACGCGCGTGTTGACCGACGCGCACGAGCTGATTGACGCGCACGTGTTGATCGACACGCGCGAGCCGATTGGGTAGACCTTCTTGACTCGTCCACTCTTTGCTTCGAGTTTCGTGCGGGCTCTCATAGGTAATTTTAGACGCCTATAGGGGGTTGATATAGATTTTTTGATTTAGATAATCCTCAATCTGTATTTTTTAGAATCCGAAATCTGTTCCATCAAACTTCTCTAATCTCACTTTTCCTTCATCTGCGACCATTGCTCCCACTTGAATCTGACTTCCTCTAAATTGTTTCAGTCTTTAATACCAGGTTTTGGGGAAATACCCGGGGCTACGCTAAACCCCTTTAACAGTGAAAAATACAGTATAGAAAAAAATACACCAAGATTTATGAGGTTCAACAAACTTGTTTACGTTCTCGGGAGCCACACAATTAATTTCTTATTAATCAACAAGAAATTACAATACAAGAGCAGATTTCAAACTTGAGATTCCGCAAAAAATGAAACTTTGTTACTGTAGCTACAGTGATAACCCTCTTCTTCAAATCCCCTTTCAATTCTCTCTTTAATTTCTCTTAAAATCTCCCCTCAAATTCACTGTTGAGAGAGAGAGAGAGAGAGAGAGAGAGAGAGAGAGAGAGAGGAGAAGAGAAGCTCCGCCACCAAGAAAAATTCGCGAGAGAGAAGGAGAGAAGAGGAGAAGAGAAGCTCCGCCACCAAGAAAAATTCGCGAGAGAGAAGGAGAGAAGAAGCACACGAGATCTCGAGTTAGGGTTCCTTTTATAGGTGAACCCTAACGTCAGGCTGGTAACAGGCTGTCGCCAGCCATGCGTGCGTCGAGCTCGCTTGCGGGCCACCAACCTCGCCTGCAAGGAGGCTGCGCTCGAGCTCGCCTGAAGCAAGAGCGCTCGAGCTCGCCTGGATCTTTCCCGTTGCTCGTTTGCAGAGTCCCAAGTTCGCCTTCAGATCTCGCCCTCGCCCGCGCCACGCTCGAGCTCGCCTGACGCAAGCCTCGAGCTTGCCTGATAGAACTCAACTTGAGCTCGTCGCCTACAGGTAGGTTTTGGCTACACCCAAATCCAACACACTATAATTTGTTAGACTGATTCAAGAATTCTAATCTATGTATGAAGATATCATTCCTTATGATCAGACTTTCTAATAAATACTTTATCTATAAATCAATGGCTAAATGGCACTTAAATGCCCTAATGTTTTACTATCTGTACACATAAATACCCTAAGTTATAAAAAGTAACATAAAAATATCCTAATGTTTTACTATCTGTACACCGTTACTTTTGACTAAAATGCACTTCATTAAAACATTAGTAATAAATTAAAGGGGTAGATAAAATAGTAATTAAAGCAATAACTAGGAGCAATACAATAATAAAATTCTTGTGTACTATGCTTATGGAAATATTCCTAGGAATATTTTGTTATGTATTTAACAGAAGGTAATAATGTGCTACTTTTTGACAATTTAGGGTATTTTTATGCTACTTTTTACAACTTAGGCTATTTAAATGTAAAGGTAATGAAATATTAGTGTATTTAAGTGCTATTTAGCTGTGTTAGAATTAATATAGAATTATAATCCTCAATCCTTACCATAACTTTGGAGTTTTGGTATAATGGTTAGAAGGACTTAATTTAAGATGATATCAGAGCAAACTAAGTTCGAATCTTGTTGGCAAATAATTTAATGCAGATTTTGAAAAATTGTAACCGCTGCGTGGTCTAGGATTTCTGTCCATTAAAAGGACGCTCAACGTGTGAAGGCATGTTAGAATTAGTATAAAATTATATTCCTCGACTCTCATCATAACTTTAGAGTTTTGATATAATAGTTAGAGGCAATTAATTTAGGAAGCTCTAAATCAATCTCCAATCTCATATTTACACAAGGAGCCTCATTTTATTATTTGGTTTTGTATGTGTGAGACATTGATAGGATATTTGATATGTTCATATTCTCATCCAACAGGATACATATAAGGATACGTATTAGAACTTCGAATAATCTGAAACCATATATACATTTGTGATTTGTACATTTCTGCACGTGAAACAGAGCCTATTAATTAGTTGCATGTGAACCATGGCTGAGTGTTTTTGTTTTTTCATGAATCAATCATTGAATTAGGGTAAAATACAAATGATTAATATTTTCTCTTGAGTCATTTTCTTTGTATGTATCTTTTCACAAGTTTTCTTTGAGAATATGATATTTTGAATTTTTTATTTTTTCCCACATCAGTCCCGTTTGGTAAAGGGTTAAACGAGGAGCTAAGGAGAGTTAACTCCTTCTTAACCTGTCAAACACGAAAGAATTACACAAGGTGTAAATTGAGTTAACATGTCATAATTGACCAAATGCAAAAAATAGTAGAAGTGTTTGCAAATCCCTCCAGAGGGTTAAAATGAGTTTACCCCTCAAAATGAGGGGTTTAGAAATTCACCGATTAGAGGGATTATGAGTAATATTCTTAGGTCTCAGGTTAGACTCTCCTGAGAAGCACCCACAAGAATTTAATTTTTTTAAAATACCTGAGGCAATGCATTGGGTTATGCCTCTTACACATACCCGGGGGTTTGACACTCATAGTTCGAAGGATCGTGGGGACGTTCCCTCGCTAAACCCAAATAATACTAATACTAATAATAATAATAAGAGGGATTATGAAATAACATCTCTATTTATAAAGAACATTGTCATAATATTTTTTAATTCCCAAACATAAAAATAAGCATAAGATTAAATAAACTAACCTAACAACTTAACAGATGGGGAAAAAAATTAACCCTTCAAATTAACGAATTGGCTAACCATGGTAACTCTGCCCTTAGTTCCTTTTATTTACCCCTAATAGGGCCAAATGGTTCACGTATAATCTTTTCTTCGTTTAACCAGGACAAACGCTTGGGCCCTACTATCAAATACTAGGGACGGCCCAACTGCTCTGAAAAGACCGCATAGCTGCGCTAAGATGGGCCCCTAACTAAAAAAGACAATCTCTGCAGAAAAGGAATCCGCAGCTTTAGACCAGCATATGTGGTCATAGAGAAATCCCAAATACCCATTTAATTATTTTCTTGGGTGATTAGGCACTTATTAGTCCTAAACCCTTTTTATTATTGTTTATATACTATATATTAAAACAAGGTTACTTTTATGTTATTGGTTAATGTGAGTGTCATCTGATATCAATGTGACACAGAAATCACTCATGTTTTAATATGTCACACAGAAACATTTTGTAATTCTCTTATAGATGTCGAATATGCATCCAACATAGATAATACAAAGACAACTCTATTTTAAGGTTTAAGGGTCTTTAAAAAAAATAGAATAATAAATGGCTGAATCTCTGCGCGCGGAAGAGGGGGTGTATTTTGCAATTGACCTTTTTTTATCCAAAATCTCATGATAACAGTACTCGGATAGATACTCCAAGTATACCTAGACAACTTTGGAAAATACAGTATTAAATAACTTTTTTTTAGGGAGCAACCAAAGCAACACAAGTATATCGTGAATCAGTAGACTCTCAATGGATAAGGTGAAACATTATTAGTTTTTTTTTGTATGTAAACACATCATTATGAGTTTTAATTATTATGCGCTAGCTAGGACACTTGCTAAAATCATAGGGGTTTTATTTGGAATCTCTTTAGCTATCCTATTTCTTTAGGCATGTGTAATTACTCTCTTTTATATTTCCAACTTTGCAATTTCCTTTTACTAAGTTAAACACCGCTTAATGTATGTCGTAATTTTGTCTCTACCATTCGCCCATTTAGCCTATGCTAATTAGTCGTAAGTTCCGAATGAAAACATTATCATCTAAAATAATCTCACAATAGTAATCCAGAAAAATTAATCTACGTATAGTAGAATCCAAATATGTCGGAAAAGTTAAAAAAAAAAAAAATCCTATTTTCGTTTATTTCTTTATAATTTTTCTTTCATGTTCTCTCTTTTTTGCTTTTTATATGCAAATAACGGGTCTAAATGTAACAAAACATTCTCCAAAATAAAAAAATCGCAGACACATGCGTATATGCTCTTTTTTTTTAAGAATGTAAGGACAAACCCTCTTGAGATTGCTGTTTTTTTAATCTAAATCATTAATTATTTAATGAGTAATTGTGCTATATATTATATCAGACGCTTACTCTATTGCACTCAAAGAAAAAAAAATCATAACACCCTGATAAATAATCAATGATTGTAATTAAGTAGAGGCCCCTCCACTTTTTTTTTAATTTTTTTGACGCTGCAGAGGATCCGAATCATTAAAACATTAAAGCACAACACCGGAGGAGGCTCTCTAGTAACTCACCCGATTGAAGACCATGAATCCAAGGTCTACATCGACTCCGTCGACCGCAACGGTCTTCGCGTGCCCGCCTAGATGATCCTCCTCCTCGTAGAGCACGACGTTGACGCCGGCATCGGCGAGCTCGTAGGCGGCCACGAGGCCGCTGATTCCGGCACCTACCACGGCGACCCGCATTTTGTCTCTTACTAATTTCAAGAACCTTGGCGACGCTCAAAAAGACCAACTCGAGGAGAGGAGAGGAGAGGAGAGTTCTGTTCCCGGGCTTTGTAGGTGGTTTTTAAAAGGATAAGGTGTTATATTACAAAATAGAGGAAAAAGGAAAAGATATTTGGGAAATATTTTTTAAGAAATTAAAGGATTGGTAAGTGGATTCTAGATGCTTTCTATACGGTTTTAGCTATTCCTTAAAGGTTCTTCGTGTAGTTCATTAAGGTGGGGATGTTTGATATTTTTACCCCCCATAAGTGTAGGTAGTAAGCAGGGGTGCCATGTTGAATTTGATAATCTGGTGGGGGGAAAAGATCATATAGTACTCGGAGACCGCCTATAGAGAAAGTAAAACGCAACATATATAAGTTTTACTATCAATTTCAAATAAATACTAGTAGCTCGCCGTGTCAGTGGAAAAGTAAATATCGGTGTAAAAAATATTAGAAACCTATGCGGCCAGCAAGTTTAAATTGGGTGTCGGAGCACGCGGATAAATTTAGTGAACTTAAAAGCAAAAGGGGGAGTGAGAATATCAAGGTCTTAACGGATACGGATCTAACCACGTCGGGTACAATTTCGAAAGGAAATCTAAACCCGTGGAGGGTTATCCTCCTCGGGCTTATCTCGACAGACTTCAACTTGTGCACGTGGTCATGTTATTAACCGACAAAAGAGACAAGAAAAAAAAATATTAATCTTTTAGCACAAATAAAATGTAATGGGAGCGGTAAATTAGGTGAGAGCATTATTATTGGGAAACAATTGTATTTGTGCGCCAAATTAAGAATCAGCACGTGATCGACTTAACTCATTGACCAAAATTAAGCGTGGGTTAAGCTATTTTTTCAAGCTAATTTTTTTTTGGATTCGGATCCTCTCCACTATCTAAAAGGTAGTGGATGGACCACTACATAATCACAACCATTGATTATCTAGTTGGTGATTGTGATTTTTTTCTTTGAGTGCAAATTAGGAATGAGTGCAATACACGGAGGTATGGTGAATGTTAGATTTAGATTGTATCATAACCGCGTACTAAGTAATTAGCGATTGGGATTAAAAGTAGTGGTCTCTCCACTACTTTTTTGTAGTGGAGAGGATCCAAATCTATTTTTTTCTACACCTTTTTTTTTCTATTCCTAAAATACCCTTATCTTCTCCTCATGCTAACATTTTCCTCCATTCTTTTTTTTCTTCTACGGTTATGCCTCCTCCCTTTCTCTTCATTCTAAATTTGTGCGACCTTCATCCTCCTCTTTCCTTTGCCCATCATCCTCCACCCTCCTCTCTTCTCTATCCCAACTTCATTTCCCTCTCTCATCTTTCCTCCAACATAACTCAATTCTCGATCGTCCCTCTTCTTCTACTTTTCCTCCTCTTTAATTTTCTCCTTCCTCTTCTATCATTTGTCCCGTCTTTACCTTCATCATCTCTTCTTCAATTTTATTTCCACTTTCCTTCTCCTCTTCTTTCGTGCATCTCCACCTTTCTCCTCTCTCCTGCCTTCTCCTCTGTTTCGCAATAGCTGCCGCATCACTCAAATACCATTATCTTTGAAAGTGACGCCGAAATTAACACTCAACGGTCAAACTTAGCACCTGATAGTTAAACTTAACACTTAACTATAAAACTTTAAGTTGAAGCCTTAAAATTAATAGATAAACTTTTAATTTAACATGTGAGGTGTAACATGAACTAGCAATTAAGCTTTTTCGCTGCCACATCATCTCCTCCGCTATTTTTCTCTTTCCTCAATGTTTGTTAGTTGTTACTCATTATTTTTCCACAACTGTCATTGTAACCTTCAAAGGTTGTCTTTTTAGCTAAGATGATCATTTTTTAGAGTTAACTTTAGATTTAGAGTGTTAATTTTAAATTTCAAGTGTCAAAGTCTTTATTTAACACTAACAAATGGGTAATGGTGGAGGAAAGAGGAATATGATTGAGGAAAGAGAAAAAGAAATGAGAGTGTTAACATATAAGTACATGCATTGCGGAAAATTAGATAATCTTAGTTATAACATATAAATTATAACATATAACTTTAATTGTTTGACAAATAAAAAGTAAAAATAGATATATTTGACAGTAACTATATAATCTTAGTTATAACATATATAAATTATAACAGATAATTAGACTTTCTTTTGTCAAAGCGAAAATAGAAAAAGAAATGAGAAATGAGTAATATGATTTAAAATCATTGATGAGCTAGAAAGCGGGAGGGCGCCATGGCCCCTCTAGCGTCGTTGTATATGCATGTAACATATATGTACATGCCTACATTATGTATATATATACACATATACCCTTTGAGCCTTATATTAGCGTAGAATCTTTCATATTCTGAGATCAGTCAGTCAAGTCATTAAAATTTCTCTTAGATTCCCGAATTTTTAAGTTATTTTAGAAGTAGTACCTCAAATCATTGAAATTATATTAGGTTCCCCAATTCCCATTTTCAAAGTAATCCTTCTACTTGTTACTTTTACTCTTGATTGGAGAGATTAATTTCAAAATTATCATACTCACTTTAAAAACACGAGTTCAGGAAAATCTTTCAATGGTCAATATTACCCTTTATTATTTTGAATATTTCATTTATATCTTAATCTATCATAATCATAATTACATCCTATCCTAATCTTACGTGAATTCTCTATAACTTAACAATTTAAAAAATAATATTTAATAAAATATATAAAATATCTTTATGGTATTAGTTTGTTAAGATAAAGAAATTATACGTAGCTCACATACTATAATACATGAAGTATTACAAAAAAACCCTAAAAAGTTTTAAAATTGCACAAAATATATTGAAAAGTTTAAAATTATAAAAACCATCACGATGTCTCAAAACTTAGAATAACAAACATGTAATTAAGAAATTAACAGCACTTTGCGAAGAATTTAAAATTTACAGTTAGCACCTTATAATGTCTCAAAAATTATAGAAACACCCTCAAAAGTTCACAAACAAGCACCCAGAAATTCTAAAATTTCATAACTTGTAAACAACATAGATGAATTTAAGAGATTATCATGATGCACCCAAAAATTTCTAACATTTCAAAACTTAAATCAACAAACATGAAATTAAGAAATTAATAGCAGTCTCTGAAGAATTTAAAATTTTTAATTAACACCCTCAATATCTCAAAATTTATGGAAACAACCTCAAAAGTTTAAATTATAAAAACTCACCCTAAAATTCTAAAATTTAAAAATTTACAAATAATAAAAAATGAATTCAAGATATTACCCTCAGACACCTAAAATTTTAAAATTTATCAAAATTAACCGTAAAGTTACAAAAATTGAAAAAAATAACTCCTTCAAAATTTAAAAATCATAAAAAACTCTAAATTTTCAAAATTTTTAACAATTACACATCAAATCTAGAAACTATTAGTAGATCGCTAAAAATTTAAAATTTTTTAAAATTAATCTATAGTTTTAATAATGTAAAAAACACCATCAAAAATTTAAAGTTGGAAGAAATATCCTGACATTTAAAAAAATTACCACCGATACATGAAACATAAAAGTTACAACTAATAAAGTTAAAAAAAATATTTTTAAAAAAAACTATCCCAAAGTTTTAAAAACTATAAATCACACCCTCAAAGTTCAAAACTATAAAAAATGACTAAAATTTTAAAATTTGGCAAAGAAAAATGTAATTGTTGGTATGTTTTTCATTAAGATACGTGAGTGAGTGAGTGTGTGTGTATGTGTGTGTGTGTGAGAGTGAGTGAGTGAGTGAGTGAGTGAGTGTGTGTTTGCGTAATTTTCAATTTAGGGTTTACTATCGATCCCTTTTCAGCATCTAAAAATAGTATAAGTTGATACTGGTAAACAAAAGTAATAATAATTGATTAAAACATTTGGCTAAGGAATAAAAATTTAAAAAATATTATAGCTTAAAATCATCGCCATTATATAAATTAAAGTAACTGTATATAATTTTACTAATAGGTTAGAGCAGAAAAAATACATTAGTAAATTAATTGATAAATGTTTAAATCCGTAAAAATAATAAAATCTTATAATATAATATCTTAGTATTAATTAATTATAATTTAGAAACATTAATTTCTAATGTTAATAATATTTATAAGGTAAAAGAATATAATGAATTACATATAGAGAAACTATCAGGATGTTCAGAAATACCCTTCAAAAGAATTAACTTATTTCCATTGCAAATGAGAAAGTAACGAAAATAAATTTAAAATTCAAAAAAATATCCAAAAATCACTTGAATTGGCATTAATATAAAATATATCTATTAAAGAAGTACTAACTGAGTTGTGTTAAAAAATAATTTAATAACTTTATCCTAATCAAAAAAGAATTCTCATGGAAGATATAAAAAAAATTAGTAAGTATTCACAAATTTCATACTTTGTTCTTCAAATACTAAATAAATTAAATACTAATATTTATGGCAAAATGGTAATGAAAATGCAAGTATTTAGTTTTGATCTTTGTGAAAAATAACAGGGATAGAGCAAAGGTAATATTATTGGCATAACATAAACTCTTATTGGATGCACATCAGAAGAATTCGTTGTAGGAAAAAAAGAGGTAGTTTCTAATCTTATTTAAGTACTAAATTAGGATCACAAAGAATTTCATATATATATATATATATATATATATATATATATATATATATATATATATATATATATATAGAGTAATATGGGTATGCTTGCTCAAGCACAAAAAATTGTGCTTGGTAGTGATGTGTCACATCCCCCTCCACTCATTCAAATATGGGACACATTCACATGGGTAGTGAGTGGATGAGGATGTGACACATCACTACCAAGCACAAAATTTGTGCTTGGTACCAAGCATACCCATTTTTCTCATATATATATATATATATATATATATATAATTAACACTTATTCTTCTCATTAAAGTCTATATTTTAAGCAGTTTGTGTTAAACATCGGAAATACATTTGACTTATTTGAAAAGTTAAATAAGTAAATAAAAGATTAACAAGCCCAAGAAAGATAACAACATAAAAAAATACAATTCTAGCTTGATGTCACAATCGATATAGATGATGAAGCTACTACTCTAGAATTGCCTAAGAAAAAGAAAAAGGTGAAGAATGATTGGTCTTAGCTCAATAAAAAATAAAACAGAAGGAATAAAAGACAATTTTTTCTTAAATATATTATAGAATAGTTTA